CCCCCCCCCCCCCCACTGCCGCCCTGGGATGCTTGGTGATGCCTGGAGACAGTTTTGGTTGTCGTGACGGTGGACGTGGGGCTGTGGGTGGAGGCCAGCGATGCTTTCCCTACATCCTGCACAGCAACAACAGAGAATTATGTGGCCCCAAATGTCCATAGTACTGGGGGTGAGAAGCCCTGTCCCAGGGGACACAGCCCAAACTTCATGAGCCAGCCCCGGCCTTTTTGGCTGGTGCCCCTCATCTTGTGTCCTCCAATGATACCAAATGACTTAACAGTTTCTGGAAACTTCTAGCTTCCTCTGCCTTGAGTCTCCCCTGCCCTCAGCCCACCCCCCACTGAGGGATCAGCCACCTGCATTGTTGAGGGGTAGGTTTTGTGGGGCCCAAAGATAGTGCATTTTGGGGGACTCTTAGATGAGCCGCCACTCCAGTGATGAGGACGACTGGGATCCAAGTGCTGACGGTTGCCCCACGGCTGGGTTCCATTTGGGGCGCACGTTAACCAGAAAAACGTGAGTTTATTTGTCTCTTCCTGCTATCTTCCTTTTCCCCAGCGTCTTCCCAGTGCCCAGGACAGAGCTTGGAGCCCGGCTGGAGCCCCATAAATGCCTGTTGCGTAAATGAATGAATGGCAATGTGATGTGTGGTATGAGTGGACAAGTGTGCTTGCCGGGTGAACGTCGACAGGCCTCCAGCATCCTCTGAGGTTCAGTCATCACTGCGGCGAAAATCCGCGTGACTTCTCCAACACGTGTGTCCTCCTTGTGCCCGCCCGACAGCCAGTCGCCTCCTGCTCACGGTGGACCTGTCTCCTTTCTCCTTTGCAGACCCTTCCGTCCCCCTGGATCCTATCTCGGTTTCGAATTCCTCCTCTCAGATCATTCTGAAGTGGAAGCCTCCCTCGGACCCCAATGGCAACATCACGCACTACCTGGTGTTCTGGGAGAGGCAGGCGGAGGACAGCGAGCTGTATGAGTTGGATTATTGCCTCAAAGGTGAGTGCGGGCGGGGTGTGTGGGAGCGGACGATCTGCTTTGTCCCGCTTCGAGGGAAACCTCTCCCCACATCCTGGTTTTCCCAGGGTACGTGTGGGTGTGTGTGCACGCTCACACACTCCACAGCCTCTCATACAAGAACGTGCACACACGTTTCTCAACCTGATGACACCCTGGAGACTCACGTCAAAACCAGATAGCTCTTATGCCTTGCCACCATTTCCTTCTGGAATTTTCTCCTCCCCACCCCCCTTTTCCCTGTGGGGATGCGGCTGCGTTAACCCGCTGGGTTTTTGCGCTGAGCTAGGAATGGAGAGGCTCTTGACAAAGTCAGGGAAGAGTTCTAGCCCCTGAATTTAGACCCTTACGTTTTAAGGACTGGAGACAGCAAGGACTGGCAATCTGTTCCCTTCTGTGCTTTCCATTAAAAATTTATACTAGTGATGATTTCCCCCCCTCAGTCTATAATCTTGTTTACTAAATAGGCTTCATCCATTTGTAGAAAAATAGGAAATTATTTGCACTTCAAACTAGTTGGTATAAATTAGTTTAAAATTAAAAAAAATTTTTTTTAATGTTTTTACTTATTTTTGAGAGAGAGAGAGAGAGAGAGAGAGAGAAGAGACAGAGCGTGCACAGGGGAAGGGCAGAAAGAGAGGGAGACACAGAATCCTTAGCAGGATCCGGGCTCTGAGCTGTCAGCAAAGAGCCTGACACAGGGCTCGAACCCACAGACTGAGAGATCATGACCTGAGCCGAAGCCAGATGCTTAACTGACTGAACTACCCAGGCGCCCCCTTAGCATTTTACTTTTGCAAATTTTTTTTTAATGTTTATTTATTTTTGAGAGAGACAGAGACAGAATGTGAGTGGGCTGGGGGCAGAGAGGGAGGGAGACACAGAATCCGAAGCAGGATCCAGACTCTGAGCTGT